ACTGATCTCTGAATACAGGAAACAAAGGTATGCAGGGGAGCCACATTGCCTGGTAGAAAGGGCATGTGCATTCCCCAGCACAGGTGTCAACCGACTAGGAATATCTGAGTGCTTGTATTACGATACACGAATACCGTACTGTACGGCGTTGCTCAACCAAGCCGTGTGGTGAAGTATGCGCCGGTTGTTCGCAGTGTCTTTGATAAAAACTACATGGATATTAAATGATATATACATGCTTCCTAATGGCTTTTCTCACATGAAAGTAGCAAAGCATTACCTTGCGGCCGAACACGGCTCTTGCGCCGCCAACTTGTTGATAACGAAAAGCACAAATGGGTACTGCTCCCCCATCATTTCCTCGAATCAGTCAACCAGTTTACGCACGTGAACAGGCAGTTCGATTTCCACGAACGCATACATAGCCAGACGCTCGGTGCTCATGACATCCATTATCAGGAAGGTATACAGCTTGGTTCTACTGCCCGGATACCAGGTGCTTTAAAAGGCTTGCCCAAAACGGATTCTTGCGTGCGTTTCGTATACAACAACTGCATCTTAAAAGCGTTTGAATAACTTTATCTGCCACCATCGGGAGAAGCATACGTGGCCATAGTTACCTTCCTCTGACTGCCACAAAAGCACGCGTCCGGTCTCCCGAGGTTTTGCCAGGACCGAAGGCATATCACCCGCCAAAATGAAAGCCAGCTTTGCAACACCTAGTCAATAGCCCGGTGACACTTTCGGCGGTAGTTGCGCATGTTCTGATCGGTAAGGATTTTGCCGAATTCATCGGCCACAAACTGCCGCACCTCCGACGACGTCGTTCCATATTTCAGAAAGACCCTGCAAAAGCCCAACTCGTCTTTGGTTAGCCGTCGACTGACAGGAAGCCAATCACATAGGAACTCTGACAACCTATGTGTGTGTTCAAGATCGTAAACTGTGACTCTGAGGGTGTGTCTTCGTCTCCGAAGACATAACCGCGCTGGACAGCCGATGCTTCACGTGCTGTTTTTATTAGAAAACATGCTCAGCTTACTAGATTTTCGGATTCTTTGACTTTTATTCGGTTTTAGAGATCACCTACTGCTTTTGTAGCACACCCATTCGCAACGCAAATCAGCGTTGGCGCTCCAGTTACTGGACGATCGCAGAACTGCTACATAGTTGTCATTCATGTATTGGTTTGAGGCCACTTCAAATGCCGTGAATGGTGAAAAGGCTGTAGCCCCAAATTCCTCAACAAACCCGTGTGAAGCCACTTGCATAGTCATAGCACAACAAGTTTACAGTTGAATATACACTCAAATTTTCAAAAAGAGATGAATTAAGACAAATCGCCCGAAATAGCGGCAGACGAGGGTGAATTTTAACCAGAAAACATGCAAAAATGCAACATTTTGAAGTAAACGGTTTTTTTCTCTCACGGTGGTTTTGCGGAAAAAACATTGTGCGTCCAGAGCATGGCTACTTATGCTTTTTGTTGATTCTTGCCTACTTTGGTGCCGAAAGTAATGGTTCACGCATTATTGAAACCTGGCCTAGTAACAAACCCGTGCATTTATCCGTCCTGTGTGAGCACCAAACACCTTCCCCACTGAACTTATACCACCGACTGCACTCCAACAGCGACACCAGTGATTCTGCACAGTTTGAATGTACCCCATGTCTTTGAGCTTCCTGATACGATTTATGCTTATTGCTCGTTCCTCTACCTCATCAACTCCACTTACCCTTTTTGCGACAGTGGCCATATACCGAACAGTCGAAAGCAAAAATGGCTTTCGACTTAGGTTCATATTGACCGGCCAGACCACGGTCTCCGTTGAAATTCTTCAAGGCCCCGTTTGGAGCCACCGCTGTATTCGATTTACGTCAACGACCTTCCAGGTGCAAGTCCATGTCTACTTTTTGCGGACGACTTGAAATCCTGGAGTTCCAATGCCACTGCCCTCCAAATGGATTTAGACGCTGCACCATGATGAATCTGTAGCGGATAACGTGAGCAAATACCAGTTCAACGTAGTTACATCAAGTGAGTAAAATAAGCGAGATTATACAACTCACAGTTCGTAGGTACAGTTAGTTATTACCACCACAATAAATCCAACTCGATCTCCTTCCTGGAATCCTCCTTTACATATTCCTAGATACCTTTTATCCCATCGTAGTCTGAAAGGTAGATCACCGCTTGTTAATTCACTGCCAGCGTAACTCGACACAGCAAGAAGGGAACACGCCTTTCACGAGATATAGAATTTGTACTGTGTGTATGCATCCATATTTCCTTGCTTTCATTTAAACAAAAGTTATTCGGTTTGAAGAGAAGAGGAATAAGCTGAGATTTTAGTGAGAGATAGAAAGTGATACAATTTGAGTAGTGATAAGTTACACAGAAAGTACTAATGTACAATGGTCAGAAGGATCACCATAAATCGGCCCAAAAGGCATTCGCCATTTTATGGATGATCCGACGCACCTTCTCCCGCCTTAATCACATGGACTTCCAAATACTCTATGGGCTCCTGGAATACGCCAACCAAGTTGTCTACTCAGGATGCACGAAAGACGCCCCCTCATTGTGTGTGTCCAGTGAACCGCTACGAAAATATTTTCCGACCTCGAATCCGTGGACTATGCTACCCGTCTCGCGATGCCTGATCTCCTTCCCTGGAGTATTGTCGCCTCCTGAGGGACCTCGTCATTACTTACGCCTTGTTTGAACAAAACTTTGCCAACAGGTTTTTCTCTGTTGACCCAGCAAACAGCGGGGATATAGTTAAAGTATTTTCAAGCTCAGAGCGCATAAATTCATCAGGCAAATTTTTTTCTCATTTCGAGCAGCAGCTGTATAGAATGACATTCCTCCGACGGTTGTTCACGCTCCTTCTAGAACCCAGTTTAAAAGCACCACTAGGCATTTATAGATGCGAATCATCACGCTTGCAAGCATGCTGCCCTCCGCTGATAACATAAAGAGCTGCGCTTCACCCTTTTGTCACTTGTGGCTTTCAGGTGATTGACGGCCGCTGAAAGGCCAGGCCAAAACAAACCTGGAAACTTGGGAAAAGCCTCGATCCTGTGTATCAATCCGTGAATCTGTAAATCTCGGAAACTACGATGTTACGGTGGTGTTACTACGAGGTTACCACTTGATACGTAAGATACCTGCTGTCAGTCCGCTGCTGTGCGACCTGTTTGTATGTGTGAGTTGCTTAATTTAGTAGTTTTCGCATGGCCATTATCTGCCTTCATTTGGAACATAACGCTTAACTAGATACATCCAAACTTACTGAAAAGTGAGATTCGCCTAAAACAGATGGAGTTTTAGGTAGTTCTGCAAACGCAACAATTCACTGAAGCCGCCACAGACCACAGTTAACTAACTGACTTAACATAATGGTATCCTCTGCCCGAGTATACAAGTGCAGAATTCTGCATCCTGGTAACTAGAGAAGCATGATTTAAAGCACAGCGACCGAGGAATCAGTGTATGGAATGGATGGGCAACAGTACGATCCATGTCAGCAAACAGGGCTGTCAGCTGCAGCAGCAACTATATCGCCATGGCAGCGCCATTCTCGACCGTGGAGCCGCATAGATGTGGCCCTATTAATGGACAGGTGATCCTTGTGACGGATGGTGCCAATGGGTAGAGGCGGTATCCATCACCAAAGCCGAACATACAATTGGACTCCGGCATTACGCGCCAACGTTTGGAAGCTGCCACACATTTAGAAACGTGCTTTAGCTGATCGCGCTGGAGTCAAAGCCGGCCGAATGCTACCAAAAGGAAGCTGGTTAACTATAGTGGGAGGGGCTCCGGTGGCCATCTGGATGCGTCAGAGAGTTTTCGTGCGTGTTTCCGTTCATCAACTCGTCAGCAAAAGGTTATGCCACTGTACTGGCTACTTAAATACGTTCATTAGTTTGCAAGGGTGTTTGCCTATCCCTCAATATATCAGAGAACTGTTATCTGATGTCTACACGTGATCTGAGTTGTATACCTACTTACACCACGAGAGGCTGTCTGGGGCGGCACGTACACAATACACCCGTGTTCTCACGTGTTATCTACGTTAGTTTGAATTTAAAATAGGTATCCTCTGCCCACGTAGGTGGACAAGGAAGCATGAATCCTGGCAATAATGGGTTTCGCCCCAATTTTCAGGTAACATACCAATTGGGGCATGATTTTGAAGCATTATTTAAGGCGACCGTGCTAATGAAAACATTCACTGATTAATTCTTATTCGTATCAGGTTATAAAAGCGTATTAAGTATACTCAGTGGCCCAATTTATTGAATAAAGGCGCAAATGGCCTCTGAGATTCTGTCTTTTAGGAAATTTCTGGATATTGACTCTGGGGGCTCTCGAGCCATGTTCACTAGCAGTTTGGCCCGACACCCCAAATTAAGCCATGCAATAGGTGTTCCGTGATCGGCACTGAAGAGCCATTACAAGATTTGATATCGCGAATGCAAAAGCCTAGATCCTGTGTGTCAGTCCGTGAGTCCTTGAAAGAACAGGCGGGATTGGTAGGGCTACGTGTAAGTACGAAGCAGCCCCAAGTACAAAGCGACCCGAAATACAAAGTCACTTTAGATTCAGCCATTGACTCGGCAAATTCGGTCATCATCAAGCACCTCACATCAGAAATTAGGAGCTCCAGGCTTCTCACTCAACTGTAAAATGTACGGGGGCTTCCGTATCCATTAGATTAACAACCGTGAGCGAGGAAAGTAAACGAAATTAATTCCAAAAATTCGCCTTGAAAATTCTTACTTAAACTTTACTTCTTACTTCTTACTTACTTAAATCTACCCATCTGTCCTGTGTATATCTCCCGTTAAATGTAGTTCTCCTGGCGTAAACGAACTCAGTCTCTACTCTAAGCCGTTTCCCTCTCTGTGGAATTTGGACCAATGAACGCTCAGTGTTTACAACCTCAGCCACTCGTACAGTTGCGCAGACCGCTGACTACCCTGTCTTTACCATGGCGCATTTCTACCATGTGACCACGCAGAGACCCACGGCCATAATCAAAACATGCACTGGTAAGGTGTCTTCATAGATTTTATTTCAAATAGGGCACTTCACTGGTCCTGATGATCTCAATCTGCTTATTTGCAAAAATAATTACATCGAAGTATTTGAAGTTACGTCTGAGGGCCTTAGACTCATTCGGGATGTACCAATAAATGCCAAAATTGTTGCGGCATGTTTATTCCGACGAAAGGTTCGTTCTGATTTATATGTTATAAGTTTCAGGAACGCCAAACGGATTCTTTATTTATCCTCACACACAAGGCTGGTTTTGCTCTAATCGAGTGCGCGCGCAAGGGCGATGATGTGCACTTTGTGACAGTCGTATCTGGAAGTGTTGAAGTATGAACTTTTGTATACCTCTGACAGCTAGGATTGTGGCGCACGGTTAATTGATCAGGGATTTGATGTGCTCGTGGATCCCGGCGCTAATTGTGTCGTCGTTCGCTTGTATCATGGATTGCTGAGAATAATACCCTTGAACGGCATCGGTGAGAAGTTATCCACGGATTCCTTAGAAGTCAGTCAATATGCTGCCAATACGTACAATGTTCGGTTAGTTCCCATGCTCAGTCTACAAACTCCGTTTCAGGATTGAAGAGGGAAACATTGTGGATATGGCCTTCCTTCACGGATACACACTCCCAACTTTCGCTATGATTTATGAAGATGAACTTGTCCTTCATATGAAAACATACGAAATATCTGGGCGGGAACCGGCATTAAGGAATGTGCAGTTGACTCTGGATTCCATTGAACCTGACTCAAAATTGTTGATTCCAGTTCCAAAGCCCTTTGGAGGTGTCATCTTGGTTGGAGATAACATTATCTACTACCACACAAAGGACGGACCCCACATTTCGCAATACATACCACAAGCAAAGGTTTGTTTGTGCCTGTCCTAGTTTTATAATCGTATCCTGTGAGGCAATGAGGTGCTTAAGTTTTTGTCCTTTCTAGTTCTCACGGCACATGACTGTTTAGGTGACCTTAAAAATCGGCAGTGACTAGTGTTGCATGAAATCAGCATAGTGTACAGCAGACGCTTCAGGCTTTAGTATATAGGGACAGCAATGACGTTCCCGTCTTCGGGAAGTATTGCCTCCACTGAACACAGCGATAAGCTCAAAATAAACTCCTGAAGTCGCAATTGGTCCATGCAAACAACCAAAAGCGCTTGTTTTTGGTGAAGGAATTCCCTGGACCACCAGTTATATCTTTTGTACACTTCTGGACACATCCAGGCCATCTGAACAGAGGAGGCCGTATTCGTCCCGCGGCAACCTCAGATAGGACCCTCAGCTCCCGGACCACACTTCTTCCCTTGCCACTCAAGGTACTAGAATCGACTGGAGCAGACCTAGTAAAAACAACAGGAACCCAGGCAACCTACAATCGAATAACCTCTGGAAGTGATCCTACTTTACCAACCTGCTAGGCGCATGATATAGCTTGTCGATGAACTCCTATGGCAGCTCAAACCTGGCTTGTTTAGCTCAGCAGTCCTAGTGCGAAACAACGTCCCTTGAGGAATACTGTTTGGCTGATGGATTCGATCGAATGTCAGTTGCCGAATAGCTTTTCTACTATTCCGTGTATTCAAGGACTTACCTTGAAGCCACACTCACTGCGTTGCTTTCCGCTGCCGATTTGGAAGTCTCGGGTGGAATGCAATCAGTTGAGGACCGTGATCCGTGTGTGTTCACCTACCGTTCTGTGGGGACACATCGTTTCTGCCTTTTTTTCGTCGACAATACGTATTCGGTCTACATAACTCCGTGCTGTTATCGAGTGATGCAACCTGAGAGTCGCCATACAAGAAGACCTCTGTAACTGTGCATAATGTCAGAAACATGCAGCCATCTTCAGTGAACAGTTAAAGTCCTTCGGCCGGCCGAGACGAAGCGACTCATCTCCGTCTTCAGTTACAATATGGTGCATGAGCTTGATGTTTCTGGTATAAGCCCGGTGAGCAGCACACAAACTTTAATAAATAGACCCAGCAACTAGACTGTCGAACTGCTCAGTTTTTCACGGGAGTCCTCGTATTTAGTGTGAGATGTCGTTAAATGGCGTGGGCAATTAAGGTTGTATAGAGTCAACTATAATGCGAATAATCCGCCCTCTAACGCATACACAAACATTAACCGGAAAGCTGCTGGTCAAAATTACATGACCACATAACCCTGATAAACCGTCCACATGAAACCACTCATCTTTCACTCAGCCACACAGGCATAGCAACAAAGTACTTATTCTTCAGCCCAACGGGCGTAGCAGCGGGTAATTTAAAATGACATTCTCAGGTCGCCTGTTTTCACAATCTTGTGAACCAAGGTTTTATTATCACTCAGATGATCGAAGTCGAAGTAACACCAAGAGGGCTTCAACTGTTTGACACAGGATGGGGAGGCCTTCAGTTCAGCCAGTCAGTTTTCCATTTCACAAGTCGTGTATCTATCTGCTACAGCTTCGCTCACCAATGATATGGAGAATAAAGGACAGAATGAGGTGTCGGAGACGATGACTCAATCAATCACTCATTTTGAGTGTTTCCGTTTGTCCGATGTGACAGGGATTGCGAGCTATACAGTAAAGACACTATCTTTTGGTTTGAGACCGACATTAGCTGTGACAGCCATATCTGTCAGGGTCACCAACCATTGGTTTGTCTTATCATCCGGTGCACATCTGGGAAGATGGTATTTACTAACGATATTAAATTGAATGGTAACGACTTTCATGCTTCGCTGCCGGGTTATGGGCTCATCGGCCCTGGGTCCTCCATCTAACAAGAGACCGGATAAGACGGCTGTACGAGGCAAACTGTCCTTTAGCACACGGTGCACATGGCCTAACCAACGTAACCTGCGGAGTGTGACCAGCTGATCTATCGAGGGAGAATTAACTTTCTGGAAAACGGGGTTGGTGTACTTCGGCATTGCTCCCCTGGTGTTCAGACCCGCGCAATGCATCGGAGTCGTTAATGGTCAAACACAGAGCCTTTGATAGTTTTCCACGGGCAGCGGCCTCGTCTCTGGTCCATAAAGCAGGACGGGTCGGACCGTGGTATTGTACATTCCACCCTCGATAGTGAAGCTGATGTCACTTCGGCGCCACAAATGTCGGGGGTCAACAAGCACCGCCCTTGTCTTCCCAATCAGGGGAGTGATTTCGTTATTCGCCAGACTGTTCTGACTTATGCGGCTTCCGGGTAAACGAACTTGTTTACTACATCGATCGGTTCATCTCAAGGCTTGGGTTTTGGTTCTGTTCTGACTTATGCGGCTTCCGGGTAAACGAACTTGTTTACTACATCGATCGGTTCATCTGCAAGCATGAGGTTTTGGTTTGATTCAACAATGCTGGCGCGAAGCGCATGTGGAACTGTGCGGCAGAATTACTTGGGTCATTTAAAGTAGATTCTAAAGGGTCTGATCCAAGAAAAGTAATATCATCGGCGTACTCGCTGTCCGTGAGCGGACACTCCTGTAATACTCCGACTCATGAGGGGTTAGAGACAAGTACAAAAGATTCAAGCAACATATTGATATCGAATTTGAAGAAGGACGGCAACAGAGGACATCCTTGACAGACACCACTAAATGTAGTAAACTAAAGAGAATTAGCCGTAGGTGGTTAGAGACAGGAATTAGGAGGGGACAGCCTCCATCGCCAGAAACTGGTAGACTCTGACCATCAACGGAGTTGATGGCGGATTTGGGGTTGAAAGTTATAACTATTGTTGGTTGTTGGGAGGAGTGGCGCAGTTCCAGCACTTTCTGCAAAGTGAATGTATGATCTATGTAACCCCGGATGGAGCGAAAACCAGCTTCCTTCTCGGGAATCTGATCCTCCTGATGACGGTATCACTTGCGCAGGATAATATCAGAGAACATTTCTAAAGCTATTGACACTAGGCCGAAGTTCCAGTGGTTTTCGCACTGTTTTTGAACTGATTTTTAATATGGGGATCACTGTCAAGGCACTCTATTCTGATCGAATACTTCCCTCATTCCAGACATTTTGGAGTGGGGTCGTTAGGTAATCCACGACGGATTCATTACCTATAGTCTAAGCAGGTAGCCCTATAACCCCCCAACCAACCTTTATCAGCGTGACTGTATTTGCAATAGTTTCTCAGTCAGACCAGCTCCTTATTCTTGAGCTACAGTAACCCTTGAGGTGGATGAAATTAATGGTTGTACGTCAGTCTGCATGAGGAGAAGCGCAAGGGTATGTAGGGATCCAGTTGCATGTCCGGAAGAAACGAATCTCAATCGGTAACTGATGACTACATTATCCAACTGAGTCCATGACTGGTTTGCAATTTGTGGCTTCTAATTAAGACTAGGCATTCGTGTGAAAAGGAACAGGCCTTGTTTATTTGAAGACCTTCACAGCCTACCTCACCGAACTGCGTTGATCCCAAGTGAACCAGAAAGCCTTATAGTGCCTTATAGACTCTCCAAAGTGACGATGTTTTGTGGTGTGGCGATTTTGTGTACTTCATTGATGCGTTGAGCTATGCTAATGGGTTTTACTTTGACACCCATAGAGTTTTTTATGCCAGGCTGGTCAGTGGATATGGTTCTGACGAGCCTAACCTCCTAGTTAAGGTTAAGGTTTGGGACAGACGCGACGACTTGTTCCTTAAAAGTGCACTACTATGATAGTATGTCGACACCCGACCCAAACTTGTCACCTTGTAGCGGTCGGACTTCTGTGCTGCAATGATCCTGTGTACTATACTGGCGGGAACTCCGCTCCTAAAGGTTAAACCATGCCAAGAAGACCAATGGGGAGCAGCCTGACGAAGAACAGTGAGACCCCATACTGCGAGTAATCGTATTACGAGGCTGTCTGGAGGTAAAGTCGTACCGTCCTCTGCGGTAGGAGTATAGTGGCAGTAAGGCGTTTCCCCCAGGCGACCAGCGTGTCTATATTTATAGAAACAGCGATGCTGCCTTCCCCCGAGGAAGGACGGCTTGAAAAAGGTCGGCCCCAAAACTCGCACACTCCGATCGCCCAACGGTCGACCGTGGCCGTCGGTCGAAGTACTTTTGAAACCAAAGAGTCCGGTGCTGCTCAGAATGCAGTTGTGCGCAGCTTCACCAGGTGTGGGACAGTAATGCCCTACTCCCTGCGCCCTTGGAACAGGCTGGTCCTCTACAGCCAAGTAGGTCAGACTATTGTGTCATTGGCTCCGGGAAGGGTCCCGACTTTTGGGTCAGAGGTTAGGGGCACTGTTCCCGAACAAAACCCTACGTCCTCCCACTGCCTTGTTGGTCAGACTTCTGAGTCCAAGGCTCAAGGTGGGGTACCTCAACTAAACTCCCTTCTTCGGCCTGTGCAACGGGAAAGTATCATTTGCCCTTGCATCTCTTTCCTCACTGGCCTCCCTCACACTCTTCCAAACCATCGTACAATGCAGTGCAATCAACCCATCTGCCAACCCCCTAGCCACTGTTCTGTGTCTCAACCATCTCCCAGAAAAATAGACCAAAATAATCACCTAATGATAAAGATTTGATTCATGTTACAGTCTTTACTGTCCGTACTGTTTGTCAAATTAGGCAATAGGCATCCCTGACTGAAAACGCGCTTTCCCTCTCTATCGATGTATGTTGTGTCTCCGAAGAACACATACAAGGCCCCAATTCGGTCGTGCTCCTTAAGCCGCTTAGGACGAGCCCAGATACTCCACATTTCACTCTTCGAGCATCTGGTGATCCTGACACAATGGATCGTGGTGTCTACGGTGTGGGAGTTGCACTCAGCCTAGTCAACAGTCCTCTTTGCGCTGTGTGGTTGTCTGACTCAATTAAGATTAACGCAGGTCGATGCAGCAAGCGATGTTCATTTGTCGTATCAATATACGCCC